ACCAGCTACCACATCTTTCATTGGCGACTAGCGGCAGTTCATAGTAGTCCGCAACGTTTTGGGAAAATTCTGCATCTGCCTCGATTGAGCGAAGTCTGTTGGTGATTGACAGTGCAGATTTGCGAAGTGAGGAAAGGACTTGGGAGATGCTTTGGTGGATAGAAGATGGAAAATGGAGGGAGGATATGGAAGTGGGATAGGAATTTGAGTTGGCCATGTTAAGGACTTGTATATAGATTCTTATTCATAGATGTTGTTTGGCTGAGCAATTTGATATCGCTGATTTTTTTTTGTGTTTTTCTGTTTTTCTGCTAGTTAGTTAGTGAACTCAGAGGCGACCAATCAAATGGCTGTGTTTCTATTCAACCTTTTTTGCCGCAAAGCGAAGCGAATAATATATATCTAGAAAAGTCCATCCCAATTTCCTTCGAGATTGGATGATTGATAACCTATTATGTTCAAAGGACATTATGTCCCCTCATTAAAAAGATAACTAATAGAACGATGAAATCACAGCATGATAAGAGTCAAACTCTTGCCACCCCACCCATACGAACACAAGTAAAGCTATCATTTCTCTCCTATAATAAATCGACCAACAACGTAATTTCTTACTTAAATGCTTTGATTTCTCCAGTAATAATACAGTGATACGGCAACTGACTTTCCCCTGTCTACTCTCGCTTTTCTTGCAAAATATCCAACACCTCCCTGACACTGCAGAAATCAGCCAATTTCCCAAATGCTTTCCGATTGCCGAAGTTAGCGGGACATTTAAGGTTATTTGCTCGGCTAGTTAACTAGGACCGGCAAACCGACGCCTATCCCGAAGTCTCGTCCCGAGGTTTTCCTTCTTTGGGCATTAGAAGATCGGTTTCTATTGTTTTTCACCATAGTTTCTATTTCCTCAAGAGAGTTTATTTGGGCTGTAGTTACTATTGCGTTGCAAGTAGAGCTCCCGAGCAAAATGGAGTTATGGTCGTTTTCCGCTGTATTGATCTAGTCAAAACGTGGTGCAGTTAGGTGTATTGGTGTGGAGCCTTCTAACAACTGACAGTAAGGTGATGGATGGAGCTCTCTGACTTACATCAAGTTATTGATATGTGCCAACGGCACGAGCTAGTTGGGGTACAGGCGGCTTGTGATATCTGTTCCTGGGAGCAAGATCAGTAGATTCTTCTAGTTGAGGTAGAGCTCGAGAAAATTGAATCTGCATGGATAAAAAAGTTGGGAAAGTGCATTCTGTTCCGTTTCAGCTGTTCTAGGTGCCATGAACATAATGATCCTTCTGGAGTTGTGTTTGTACTCGCATGCATGTGTGCATATGTGCATGTTCTGTAGATTTGCTCTCTCCCTTTAAAATCAGTATTCAGCCTTGCCCAAGAAGCCTTCTCCTGCTCCTCCCTCCATACCCTAACCCAAAACTATATCAAGATCGTTAGTAGCATGAATGATCGCAAGTATTTGATACTCGGTCATAAAATCACGGCATTTAAGGTCATCCTATCCTTGCCACTCCCTCAGGTGTCATCTGAAGGAAAACTTCACAGCGCCCAACCTTAGCAGTCTCTTAAAGAAAGGATCTTTATCAACCTTCATACATGTAGTACATGTATGTACATGTGGCTCACCTTTCATGAGTCCATGTACTACTGCCGACGCGCCCGTTAGCAAACAAAAATATGTACGCTTAAGGAAAGCGAAGCCTACCTTAAAACCTGCCAGACGAAGTTCCCGGACCTTCCTGTTAACTTTTCAGAGCGCTTGCCTTCGTATCTGTTAACGGCAACCGCGGCCGAGATTTCCAAGATCTCCGATCTTGATTCGCTCATCCTTCCCGTTATGGAAAGAATAATAAGCTTCCGAACGTCTGTTAAGGTAATTCATGCAAACTTAAGCGCAAGGTATATTTTCCCAGAGTTTAACCATGAGAGAGGTCTTGGGGAAGTATAAGCTCAGGAGCTAGCTACATGGGGGAGAGTAATCTAGATGAAACTGCAGGATATATACCACAACGCCTGTGAGTTCGGGTATATTATGACAGCTTAATCCAGTCTACCTTTATCCAATGTCTGGTTCCTGTCTGTAGAAGTATGTATATGTAGCGCTTTTGGGCGTACCATACATCCCAACCTTAGACTGGATATTGAGGTCACTTTTGTAGAAATCCTAAAAGTAAAATCATACGTATTCTCAAGTTTATCATAGTCCGCTTTTCGTTTCTCACCTTTTCCCTTCCATTTCCATCTTCCTAAACATCGATCTGTTATATTATATTACTCTCCAGGGTGAACCGAAACGAATGAAATAAAACGCTGCCGATTAATCAACTCACATCATTGCCTGCTTCGCATCGCAGTTATCAACTCCCATTATGAAACCAAGCCATCCTGTCTGCAAGAAGGAGAAAAAATCATCTCGCAAGTTCAGTCTCCGTCCGCTCCGCGAGATAGTTTCTCGATGGCTCCGTATGGAATCTCCAAAGCCCGACGACGAAGAGCACTCCACCCATGGTCTTCAGTCGACGTGCAGTCAGTGCAAATACTCGTCCTTCGACGGGGATAAATTCTGTCTAAAAATGTACCAACACTGTATCACGCCTGGAGAGGTGGAAAATTCCAAGAAGTCCATCCTCCACCGCTTGCCGCCTGAGATCGTCTCTCTAGTTATAAAACACCTCAAGGAGTTCGAAGTGGAATGTTTGAGATATGTCTGCAGACTCTTTTATCATAACTATCCCAGCTCGAGCGTACTCACAATGCAAGGCAAGCTCGAACTCGCATGCCTCCTAGAGCGAGGGACTTGGTCCAGAAGACTTGCTTGCCGGGTATGTCCCAGTAAGAGACACGACAAATCAATGTTCTTCCCGATAGATTGGGATAAGAACCCACATCACCGCAAGTGCAACAGACATCGGGGTGGCCTGTTGCAATTCTGCCCTTATGCCAGTGTCAATTTTGATGATATGGTACATATCACCAAGAACAAGAGACGGTATTTTCAGTTTCCCAAGTGCTCGCATGACGCATTTGATATTGCTCTTGCGTTACAGGGGCGGACCTGTCTTCTTGAAGACGAGGCATGGACCATCGTCCGCTGGCGCAAGTACAGAGTGCTCACCACAACTACCCTTGTCGCGATCTATCACGCCGCCATAATTCCCTCCAAAATGGACGCTAATAAAGCTTTCAAGGCTTTGGATATCCCTCTCTGCCCCCATGTTCACCTAGGCGACCAATGGGTCATACAAAAGTATAGGCCCAACCTTGTGGCTCGTCACATGCGTCGGGAAACCACTAAGGGGAAGTGTCATTGTTTATATTGTACAGGTTTCATGTGCCGTTTCTGCGACTCCAGGTTCAGATTTCGAGTGCATTTCCGAAAAGAACCCGTGGCAGGCGCCTGTCTCGGAGTGTCAATCATGCGAAATTTGGGTAAATTGAAAGACCCCAATGACCCATATTGGCTGTCACAGCTTTCGATCCCCAACTTGCCGGATTTCAGAACCCAATGGTCCGATCGTATTGCTACAATGCACCTGAACTTCACTCTTGGTGTTCCTCACGGTGATATCGAAAGAGCTATGCTTTCTAGGACATTGGAAAACAATGCTGAAAATGTTTTGAGCGAGCGGGAAGGTTGGACAACCGCCCCCCTTGGTAATTCGAGGGCAGATATGAGGACATTGCATAAGCCGTTGTGGAAGCCTCGGTTGAGCAGACGGGATAGGAAGTATTGGCGCTGGTAAGGAACGCATGTTTCCCCATTTCCGCTATTGAAAGCCTGTTTTGGCTATATGCTAATCAATTTCCACTTAAACAGGGAAGGGTATGGGCCCGATGGACATCTTGTTGACAAGGAATTCTCAGGAAAATGTGGAACAAGAGACTCCATGAATTTAAGATAAATTTCCGTGATCCAGCACCGAATTTCGGCGTCTTCGAAGTTAGTATATAATGAATTGATATATATTAAAATGATACAATAAATGTGCAATTTCCTAACAAACCTCAAATCTCGCAATCATTCGTTTTGGCAATGTATACAACTTATCTCAGGGCAGTTCAGCTAGCGGGAGCGAGGGGCCCTCCCAGAGTGGAGAAGCGTCCTCTATGTATTTTAGCTTTTTTCCTTTTTAGAGAGAAGCGCACGGAACATGGAAGCGTTAATAACAGAGAATTCCTAGATGATCGTCCAGCTCTCCGTAACCAAAATCGCATGGCTCTATCCAAATTTAAAGCGGCTCTGGGCATTTCGTTCTTAAGTAGCGATAGTAGATGTTCTCTTCTCATCAGTATATGGCGCAGTTGGCGGTGATTCCAGGAGAGCGGCACGAACGATAGATCGAATATGCAAAAAAATCTTCGTAGCAAGACTGGTCTGCTCGTATACCTCCCTCCTGCTAAGCTGAGGCCCCGGGGGTAAGTTCGAGGAACCAAACGAACACAGAAACATATCTGGATCCATGGCTACATTCCTCGTTTTCCCAGCCAGACTTCTCTGCCAATGTATGTATGATTCCTTTCCAGTTAGGTGGTAGCAGAAATCTTGATAGGAATGGTTGGCGGTCAAAAAATCAATTGATAGATATGAATAGCTTATCTTGCATGTCCAGACTGTGGGCACACAATGACTGCTCAAAGTAGCTCTCGAATCTTGGTTAGGATCTTTCTGTCTGACTTAAGTCTAGTAAGCCAATGCTCATTTAACCAGGCCAGGGAGATTTAACTGCCCCGGAGCCATGTAGCGAAGGGGAAAAGCTGTCTCTCTGGAGCATAGTTGAGGAGTCCTCGAGTAGCTAAACAGATAGAGTGATCGGGTAGGAGAAGGAAATGATCACAAAACGTAGCTGCGAATTGGGGTGTCGCTTTTTTAATTCTTCAATAGGAGAGCGATTTAAGTCACGTGATAACCTCTGACAACCTTGGAACTCCCGACATCCTGTTCGTGCCTGGGAAGTTACCTGACCACCACAGGGACCTCTCTCATTCCCAATTGGTCGTGGTGGTTGCTTTATGGTACATGAGCCATCCGTGATGAAATAAATAATGGTGATGATACCTGGAAAATCATCGAGCGCAAGGGTTTGGGAGATTTTAACAACGTAGCAGCGCGGACGACAGTGCTCCTGCCCATGTACCCCGACCGAGTGTTGGGCACCTGTCCGTAAATGACGTATGGCGGGGCAATTTATTATGCGAAGCCTCACAGATTGCGGAGCCTTTCGGACTCAACCGCAACTTGTTCAATTGCAACAGATACATGTTTTTCGAGAAAGAGTGAGAACGACTATATTCCTGCTGATAACTTGAGAACTGATTCGCCTCCAGTAGGAGGAGCTGCTGGATAACTGGAACCGAAGGAGTTGCTGTTGGTGGCCACTTCGAGACATTTATGTGACTTTTTCTACCCCCAGTGGCCGTCCTCAAAAATTGTAATATAATCCCATGTTGGGTAGCAGTCGCATTTCTGGAATTCATACACATTTACATATGCATGCGCTTTGTCCCCCCGTCCGTTTAGGGGTACCGTGCTTCCTGCTGTGTCGTCTTATGCTTGTATTGTCGGCCTTGAGTAAACAGGTGAGAAAAGAAGAAAAATAGGAGGTGACGGGCCTAGACCGAGTCCCAAATTATCGCCGAATGCGGCCTGAGATGAACAAAATTTCCCCCTTTTCCTCATGAGGCCATATCAAACCGTTATCAGCACCCGTTGCAAGTGACTTTTGTTGACTCCTTTTTACCATCCCCCATCCCCCATGCCGAAATGTCTATCTTCCCCTTTCTCATAAAAAAGGAGTAGCTGGATGAGATGGGAAAAGGAGCAGAAGAAAATGAGGGGTCGTGAAACTCGGTCCTTCTGTCCCGCCGCTAGGTGGATCCAACAAGTCACCGATAGTAGGTTGTGCCTAGTAGCATTTGACTCCCTGCATCCTTGGATATGGCTTATGATAAGTGTCCTCACTGGAGGGGCGGCTACGAATCGTAATGTACTGTACCAGGAGTTGCCGGTAGTGGCGTTAGATTGGACCGGAACCAGGTCAAAATAGCTCGTTCATTTTTTTTGATGGACCAGCCTGTGGAGGGGCTGTTCTTTTTCTCTCTCTTTATTTTCCCCTTATCTTTTTCTTTGTTGACACAGAAAACAGCTCTCAATTGCTCCAAGGTGAGTTTTCGTGTCTTGTAATGATATGCTGTGACCCAGCACACAAAGTCAGCAAATGTAGCAGACAGAATTCAGGAAGATGTATGTAGTATCATCGCAGTCCTACCCCGTACCCAAGAAATGATACTTGAATAAATATTTGCCCCTCATCACATTAATAGCTTCCGCTTTGGTCCACCTGGCAGCTCTCCTCAGTTTCCTGCACCTTGTTGAAGGTACAGAATGTGACGTTGGTGGTGGCACGAATTCCAGGCCAAAAGTAAGAGATCCACAAGCCACGGTGGACGAACTCGAAAGTGAATTCTTGCCTGAGGAGTGAAAGAAGAGACCCCAGTAAATAATGACGGTCGGTCCTGAGTGAGATAGATAGGCTTGGTTGCTCCATAATTACTACTAGTTTCCTTCCTCACTGCTGTTCAATTCGCTGTTGTTTGTCTGCGGCTGCTCTCCTGATGTTTGTTGCTCTTTCTTGGTGTTGCTTGCTCCCTAGTATAAATATCTCCACCCCCCACCACAACCTCCATTCCCCATCCCCTCCTTCAACTCCTTAGATACCAAACAAACCACCACTACGTTCACCACCTACGTCTAAGTTTCCTTTTCCAATAGAGGACCTCCGTTTATAAGTAAAACTACCTCCACTACCGCTATAATGCCTAAGGTAAACCCTTTCCTACCAATTGGTGTTCAATCCTAACCCCCTCTCTCCATCACACTATGCAATGCATGATGATGGAACCGTCGCCCTTAGTTTCGCAATTTTATGGAGACCAGTATGAGTTGTCTATTGATGCTAACTATGGATCGTTCTTTAGATCACAACCATTCTGTTTGACTGCGACAACACGCTTGTTCTCTCGGAGGAACTCGCTTTCGAAGCATGCGCAGACATCGCCAACGAGATCCTCGAAAAGCATGGCATTCCTGACCGCTACACCGGTTCCCAGCTCATCACCGACTTTGTTGGCCAGAACTTCCGCGGCATGATGCAGACCCTGAAGGCCAAATTCAACTTCAACCTCTCGCAAGACGAGCTCGAAGCCTACGTCAAGGAGGAGGAGAACCGCGTCATCGCGAAGCTAGAGGCCAAGGCACAGCCTTGCGAAGGTGCCACGGAGGAATTAGTCAAACTACACGCTTCAAAGAAATACGATCTGGCTGTCGTTTCGTCCTCTGCTCTCCGACGCGTGAGGGCTTCTATCAAGAAAGTCGACCAGGAACGTTTCTTCAACCCAGACCACGTCTTCAGCGCGGCCACTTCCCTCCCCGTCCCAACCACCAAGCCTGACCCTGCGATTTACCTACATTCTCTCAAAATCCTCAATAAGACTCCTGGCGAGTGCGTTGCCATCGAGGACAGCAAAAGTGGTGCGCTGAGTGCCATTCGCTCTGAAATCCCCGTCATTGCCTACGTGGGCTGCTACCACGGAAAGGAGAAGCAGGAGGAAGTTGCGAAGACCCTGCTTGATCTGGGTGCAAAGGTCGTGATGAGACATTGGTCTGAACTCGAAAAGTGCATCGCGGAGATCGACGCGTTGTGAACCAGGGCAAGGAAATCTCAAATCACCCATTGGCTACCCTGTTTCATTCCGCATCGCCCAATTTCATCTCTGCCATAGCATCACTTTTATCCTTTTCTGTTTTTATGTCTCAGCAATGAATTTACGAGGGAATAACGGGAACACCTGAAAGCATTGGTCGTCTGGAGCGAAATTTGCGCGCTTTTTTAATGTTCTATTTCTTCAAGTTTCTTTCTTCTTTATCATGCATTTGATTCCCTTCCTACGAAATTATCCCCCTATCTGCCCTGTTCCTCAGGCTGTTGAACAACAGCTACACGCTAAACGGACCACATATTTGCTCCCGAGAGACGACGTCTAGCTGTTTTATTCTTGTATCCCCCGGAAAGATCTGGGCCCCTTCTGCTAACCCAAAAAAAAAAAAATACATTTCACGGAATACTCCCGGGCCACTCGCCCTTGGCACCATAGATAGGTAGACAGACACAATGCATAGGCCATGATGATAGTGATACCAAAATAATAAAAAAAGAAATCTTTTTTTTCTTTACGTCATTCTTCGGGCTCCTTTTGTTATGTTGAATTCCTAAACATTTAATTTCGCTCGTTGTATTCCACCATTTCTTTTCAATTACTCATTGCCATTGAACGTCGGTTAGGTTAGAGCCACTTGTTGACATACGTAATATGCTTTACACGGATGCACATGGCGTAGCAATATTTTCCTTCACAGAGTTTATTATTCATAGTTAACCCGGGCAAGAGCAAGGATGGAACGAGGAAGAAATTTTCTCCTCAAGAATGAAAGGAATATGGAAATGAATGCGGAAGCTTAGCAGCTAGAACGGGGGGATTTTCGAGATTTGGTAGGTCTATTAATAGGGCATCGGCCTGTTACATATAATTATATCAATTTTTAGATATTGACATCGGTCAGGGGTATCATGCTCTTGAGTGCTCAAACCTATACTGGTACCTAAGGCAGCTTTTAAAGAAAATAGATTGACTCCAAATTTATATCACCCAGGGGCGCTATGTAAGCGGTGAAGGCCAGAAAGAACGAAAGAGAAAAAGAAAAAGAAAATAGAGCCGAAATATTCGAAAGAAAGGGTACATGTTTGTTCAATTCATCCCGCCCTCCCAACATCAATCCCAAACCTCTCACTAACATGCTCCCCCCTTTCATCCGTCCACTTCCACTTCCACCACCCCAACCCAAACAACAGCCCCTGCCTCTCAAGCATACTCCCCAACTGAGTATCCCCCATCCTCTCAGCCCCAGCCGGCAATAATCTACCACCGCCACCGCCACCGCCACCACCACCACCACCACCACCACTCTCACACAGCTCACTGCCAGCCAACAGACTCATCGTCCCAGCGATAGAACACGGGTTATGAGGGAGGGTTTCGCGGAGCCGCATCCTGAGCACGGCTAGAGATCCTAGGACGATCATTATGGCCAGCATGAGCTGGAGAGCGAGTTTGGGGCCCGGATTGAGTTTTAGACGTGGTGTTGTGCTGTGGAGCGTGCCTGTAAAGTTTTGTGGAGGGGTGAGAGCGGAACCATCATCTACATCGTCATCGTCATCGTCGTCGTCGTCAATAGATTGCCGCCGTGGTTTTGTTTCAAGGGTACTACTTCTGCTGATGGGTTTGCGCAAGGTAAGGTTGATCACCTGCGCCATGTAGTTTCTGTAGTAGTTATTAACGAGGTCGAGGAGCTTATTCGCGTTTGCCGCGCCCATTAATGACTCGGGAGAGACGCGACTATTTGATCCGTATATGATATCATTGAAGATGCTGTCGTATGTCTCTGGGGTGGAGGGCTTCCCGCCCTTCAACGTACTTCTACTGCGAGTATCCAGAAGCTCCTGCACGCGGAAGGAAAATGAAGAAAACCCATCCGTGCCGTTAGTCAGTAACTTTAGTGGTCCCGTGTCGTTATATTTGGGCGGATGTGCCGCGTCAATAAACCCTGAACTTGGATCTCGAGCGAAGGTAACCTCGGTGGGGATTTCTTGGATTTCCTGGTTGCAGATGGCAACCGTTAGATTGGCTGGTGACGTGTGGTTGGCGCGCATATAGCCAAATACGATGCCGATGGATGGGCAACCAGAGGGATTATCTGGCCGTTCCCATAGATGTACATGATGAGCAGGGTCTTGCGGTAGGAGATACAGGTCGAATAGAGAACCAATGTAGCCTCCGTCTGCTGAAGGGTCGTTGACTTCCGGATTTGTAAGATTAAACTCGATTGAAGTTACATTTTCAGGGAGACTAGCAAGACATCTAGGCGGCAGCTTTGGGCGCACGCTTGTGGTGGTAATTATTCGGTTGCTCTTTGGGTCCGAACCGTTTCCATGATAACTTTTCAGGGAGATATCGTCTGCGGTGAGAAGTTCGCAATTCAGCGACGGCCTTAGTGATGGAAGAGTGAATATATAAGTAATCGGATTCTGGGACGCGTCTTTGTCCCGATCCAGGATCTCAGAGCGAGTATTCGGTGGGTAAACGTGTATTTTTGGCAATACAAGTTCATTCCACGTCCACGGCGGGGTGGTCAGGTTGTGATACTGAAGGAGCCGAAAGACTAAACCGGCATTCCAAGCATTGGAGCTGTAGTTTTGCATTGTCATATCCCAAGTGTCCGCTCTGGACGCAACCGCACGCTGCGACTGGATGACTGATGTGTCTATATTCCAAAAGCCGGAAACAATCATAACTAAGAAGCTTGCGACAAAAGCCGCATTGATTGAGGAAATAGCACCGAGATGGTGTCCTCGAACTGCTTCCCAAAGAGCAACCGGGGGAATTTTCCCAAGCAAATGTGTTAGGATGCTCCGCCTAGCTGTCACGTTGCCTTTGCGAAGAGCTTCAAACGGTGTGAACATAGCAATAGTAAAGTCCAGGTTATTATATAAAGTTGCAATGCCGACAGCCAAAAGAGCACAAAGGTACTGTGGAAGGTATTTCCATGCTTCCGTACGCACGGTCATCAATCCTTGATTACGATTTGATGACTGTTGCATGATCTCAAGCGCCGCAATGGCGAGCATCGGCATCCCATACGTGAGGACGAACATAGGCTTCCTCGCCGCCAGCGGCTTCCAAAATCCGCTCCTTTCGACAGCGTGTTCGTCAACAGAAGTGATGCTTTCACGCAAGCGGTAACGAGCGGTGATCCTGAACGATCGGTAAGTTGACGTTCTGAATGTATAATTTCGAAGCTTGTCTCTGATCCCACGATCTGAAAGGTGACCTGCATCCTGGAGAAGTGGTTGAAGATCATTGCTTCCGATAAGAATCGTGGCTTGTGCTGCAATAGAGCCCGGGTCTCGCGGGGTAATTGCAGCTGGCCCCGTGAACAGTATAATGGCTGTCAAGACCGACAAACTGGCGAAACTTGCCACCATTATCCACAGTGAAATAATCCCAAAGTGCAGGCGGTCCTCAATATAGACAACTCTTCCTGTACTGTCCTTAGATGTTGGGATGACTAGATTTTGTTGTGCAAATTGGGTGGCAATCCCAGTGTAAACTCTTTGGAATGCTTTGTTCATGGTTTCGCCGTCAAGAAATTTCTCCAACGTCGGTTCCCCCTTCGAGGTTTTGATCATTAACTGAAATAGTGTATTAACACCTTCATTTGAAGACGCTGTCTCAGGCGCGGGATTGACAGGACGGAAAACATGAGCCCCTGCTCTTAGAGATTGTAAAATTGCCCCGTTCAGCGCAGAACTTGTTACTCTCTCTAAATTTGTTATACTCAGACGTTCCTCGGGGCTTTGAAGTTCAATGTGAGGAGGTGCCCCTGAATCATAATTCCTATAAGTCATGTTCCCTCTCACGATAGTATATTGTGGTTTGCACAAAATAGTAGTTACCCGCTTCACATCCCTAGACCAATTTGTGACATTCAGAGCCGGAGTAGAGCTCGGTGCAAAAGTTTGAGAGTAATGGATGTCCGAAATGGTGAGTAGCCAACGAAAATCACCATTTTCGTTATCAAACGGCACAGATGGTGGACGCTGTCCGCCTGTCTTGGTGCAATTGACCTGTTGCATCTCGGCAACCAGTTCACGTGGCTCGCATAGTTCTGTTCTTGGATTCTTCATACGCACATAGACTTTTGTATAATTGTTGAACCCGAGGTGGCAAGTGGCCGACTCTATACCCAGGTGAATGATGCCGCCAGTAGTCACGTTCGAAAACTCATTGAGTGCAGCCGTCGGCTGAACTATGGTTTCAGTCAGCTCACAGCTTGGGAGGGGAACTAGGACGTCGACATCAGTAGACATGCTTGTCACACGCCTCGTTGCTGGATGATTTTTGTGCAAATCAAATGTCTGAAAAACAAGGCCATCCTTTGACCCAGTGGGATCAGGCACTCCACCTTCTGATACACCAAAAAAAGCATAAATTGAATTTGCCGTGGCAGAGCGTAAGAATTCTTGCTCACTCGCAAGTGCCTTTGCGGCCCAATCTTCTCCGTCGAGGTTTGTCGTCATAGAGAGCGGATAAGATGGGTCTATCAGAGTAGTCGGTGCCGATACGAAAAGCCCGGTAGAAAAAACCAGAGCCACCTTTAGCAGGACAAATCCAAGGGCAGAAGCGGCAATGGAATGATGACCTGATTTTATCGCTTTCAAGAGTGAGTTCACTTGAAAATCTGACACATAATCGAGGACCATACTTTTCCCTGCGCTTGCCAGGCCCTTACGCATCTCATGCCAGGGGTATGCCGCCTTGCAGTGACAGTCCACTTGGCGCCAAAGACCAACCACAATAATCATAACCGCAACAGGGGAAAATCTCCAAACATAGCGGTTAGAAGTTGGGACAATTTCCAGCCCATTATCACGCACCACGAAGAGCCACAGGACGAGAAGCGCAATCCAAAGCACGGCGAACAGAATGATGAAACCAAACAGCGTCGGTTTTCTAAGCCAAAAAGGGGTCCAGAGAGATGTGTCGTTCCCATAACGAGACACAATAGGGCTAGCCGGTCGTTTCGAGAATTTTTTTGGAGACGCCAACCGGTTCGAGAGTAGCAGAGTGTCATCATCAGTCGCTGCAGTCGCGGGCGCTGGCATGGGCATGGGTGTGGGTGTGGGTGTGGATGACGTTGTGGGTGACCCCGGGGGGGTGGGAATGGGCGTGGGCACGAAATTCTCCAACTCTTCGCTGCGATGGGTTTCTTCCTGGCCAAAGGTAGCCTCCCACAAATCAACATCACCATCAAACTGCCAGGGATGTGAAATCCGCAGTTGGGTTAGCTCGTGAGCCTCCATCTTTTGTTCAAAATGCTCTTCAGGGGATCGCTTCCCATCGAGATGCATTTCGCCCCAAGGGTTGGATCCGGCGCCCGTTTTCTTTGAATGCTGGGCCGCCATCAACCAGAGCGCTCACACCACTAATGTGGCTAGTTGAGCGAAAGATACTGGTCGTTGTTTCTGAGATGCGCAATCCAAGGTGAGGGGTCATGATGAGTTTGCGAGAGAAGCCCTAGGCTTGTCTGTGGAGGCTATGTTGCGACACGACGTAGATTTCGGGATTTGAAAGAGGATGGAGCTTCAAGAAATGACATAAACACCAGATTAAAGATGACTTTTTTGGGGGGGAACAGTCACAGCAAGCCTGGCGCACAATCAGGTGAAGGTTTCTTTCAGTTGACGGCGCCTTGTGGAGAGCTGTTTCGCAACCCAACGGGTGGTTGACTGATGATATATTCGACACAAGGCTGAGCGGTCCTGGGAGGCTGGGAATTATTTATTTAGCCAAATTTAGGTTTTCTCAAATCAGAGCCGCATGGGCAACCCTGAGCCTCTCCGCCATTCACGTTCGTCCAAGCAGCCAATCCCTCCATGCGGGTGTGCGAATATTGCCCAGGTGAGTTACTCAATCATCAGCGGGGGGCGTTGGCCAATGAGACGGCGTGGAAGAGTAACGGTGGCTGAATTTCAAGTGATCCCACGTAAGGCGGTAGTTACATTGTTTGTCGGCTACATTGCTCCGGGGATCTTTCTGCGCTGTTTCTCATATCGAGAAACGTGGGTGAACAGCACAACGCCACTTCTGCTGCTTCCTCCAGCATAAACTTTCGTGAAGCCAGGAGACGCGACGCAGCTGGCCATTCAATATATTAGTATAATACTCCGAAGTAATTACCTGTGTATGGAGTACAAGCGCAAGAGAACGATGGTTGCATCCGGATGGCGGCGAGAAGAAAAAAAGCCATTGAAGAATCTGTACTCCGTACTAATTACTGGAAGGAGGGCGGCTAACAATCGGGGGCCAGCCAGCATTGGGCGGCTCTGATTGGCCTCCCGGCACCGTTGGGCTCCCTAGCGCGGGAAGTACCTGGCGCCTGGGCGTTTTGGCGCAACATCGACCAACCTCCAATTCTTTGGACTCCAGCTCCTGTTCCAACAGGGACGACCAGTTTACTAACGTACTCCGGAAATTAAAAACCAAGGCGTGGCCGCTTGCCAACAGCAGTAACTGACAATGCCACCCGAATCTATCCCTGTCAGGTTATCCAAAGAAAGCCTTCTGTCGAGGGAGTCGCTGGTATGTGACAAAGCTTGCGTGCGGCACCATGTGAAATTGTAGATATAACTATACATCACTTACAAGTTTATATCTTTTTTGTTTCTCTCTTTGTATACATTTAAAGCCCTTGCTACCCCAATGGGACCCCAATAATACCAACAAAGTTTTTTTCTTTCCATTTCTCTCTCTCTCTCTCTTTTTTTTTTTTTTTTTTTTTTTTTTTTTTTTTTTTTTTTTTTTTAAATTTTTTCCCGAAATTTTCACCGATGTTCCTCTCCCGTTCGGGCAATATTTATACCCACCTTGTCGGATGCATGATTAAACGATTGCATAATTCAAAGTGTTTTTGGTACATACACTAACATGCCTTCTCCCTGCAGAATCCATCAGAGGCAAGGTGGATCAGGCTTATCAAGTCAACATACACGGATCCCGAGGGCGTGACGCGGACATGGGAGTCTGCCGAGAGACAGGTAAGAGGAATATATTGTGTTTGATGCATCTTTGGTACCGTTGCTATTATTTATTTTATTTTCCCCTTGATGTCTTGGTTTTCAATTCAATTGGAAAAAGAATTGAAAATCTTCTCTTCTTCTGTTCATGTGCTTCTCAATCGAGAGCATAAGAGGGGTTGGGTTGCCTCTAGAGAAGCATCATGGAGCGGATATATTCAACATAGTGTTAACAACCTTTCCACATTGAATTCTCAGACCAGGCCCGAAAACTGTCCAATCGACGGCGTTGGCATTTTCACCGTCCTGTCCAAACCCTCCGGCCCAGAGCTACTGCTGCAGAAACAGTATAGGCCTCCGGTTGATAAGGTGGTCATTGAAGTGCCTGCCGGCCTTATCGATGAGGGCGAGACGCCCGAACAATGCGCAGTAAGGGAACTTAGAGAGGAAACTGGGTATGTGGGCGTTGCAGAGGAGACAAGCCCGGTTATGTATAACGGTAGGTAAACTCGTTTCCCTATATAGACATATATGTACAGCTCCGGTTCAAAAATGTAGCAACATCCCACCTCGCCCTCCCCCTGGCACCCCTTAAATCTGGCCCATCTTCCCGTCTAATATACCCTGGCCTCCGCCAATTTTTAGACCCCGGCTTCTGCAACACAAACCTAAACATGGTCCACGTCCGTGTCGACATGACTCTCCCGGAAAACCAAAACCCAACACCCCAGCTCGAAGACAACGAGTTCATCGAGTGCTTCAGCATTCCGCTGGCTACACTGTATGAGGAGCTGAAACGCCTGGAAGGCGAGGGGTATGCGATTGATGCCAGGGTGGGGACGCTGGCGGAGGGTATTGAGGTTGGGAAGAAGTTGGGATTGGGGTTGGGGATCTAAAGAAAGTGGGAAATTTGTTCATATTTTACCTTCTTTTTTTGTGCGTTGAAATGGCTTGTTCCAATGTCGGAGTTTTCCAATTTTGAGTTTTGGAGGGTATGTATATACTGACAGGTATGATGTTGGGCATTGCGTTTTCGCTGCATGCGTGGATCGCAGTTTCAGAAGGATGATAGCCAGATGGGTCGGGGTATAGTACAAAGAATCAATATAGACGATAGATAGACAATGGGTATTCCATGTATTGTCCAAAGTCTCGTTACCGGGGAATTTCCCTCAGTACTATTATTTTCATTAGGCTTCTGCGTTATTCCTGAGTGAGAAATACTCCACAAAAATCAGCTAGATATGACATGTTAGATTGCATATACCTCGTTCCGTATGGATATAACGATATCCGTCAAAGGTCGCATCAAAAGTAAGCCTCCTCTATCCTTCCATGGATGATGCCTGCGAAAATCGTGTAAGGGGTGCCGTACCAGCCTATGTACACATCCTCCTCGTCGGAAGAACAACCCGCCGACCCACTGCTCACAGAACCCCCTCCTCCTTTAATCCCCGATATAACGCCCAAGCCGCCAACGTCTTCCCATCCCGCCATGCCTCCCTCCACACCGCCTCCAACTTGACAACCTTCAACGTAATTTTCTCCCCCTCTTTCCTCAGCCCCGTCAATTTCCCGTGAAGCTCCTCAATTTCCTTCCTAGCCATGCGTTTCTGGCATAGAAAGAGTGGTATGAATTCATCGCATCCTCCCGGTGAAGGGTATACACCTGTCTGCAACTTTTCTTCTCCGTTGCCATTGCTATCTTTTCTTCCTGAACCTTCACCTCCCCCTCTCGTTTCTTGTTTCTGGCCCCTTCTCGGTAAGCTATTCGCAAGTGCAGTTATGGCTATAAGTTCGTCCTGCAGTATAACTAAGCCGGTTTCTTCTTTTATTTCTTTAGCTGCCCCGCCGGCGAAAGTGCCGGTATCATCATCAAGCATCCCCGCGGGTATTTCGGGAAAGGCGAGGGAACCGGCCGGAATACGGGGCTGGATGGTTAGGATGGCGTGTTTGTCGGTTTCGGAGTTTTCAGGGACATCGTTTGGTTGGAGGATTAGCTGGATTGATGGGCAGATTTTGGCGGTTAGTTTTAAGAGAGAAGGATGCTAGTAGTGTAGCAGTGCAGTGCAGAGCAATCGAAATCTTTAAATCGCAATAGGTTTAATTTGTCACATGTGCAAGATTGCATGGCCGTATGCCGTGCATAAACCCATTGTGATAATGAAAACTTCAAGCGGAGTGTCAATGTTGTCAAGCACTCACCAATATCCCAACACTCCCACCTCTCAAAAACACACTTCCTGGTAACTTCTCGCCATGATCATTAGAAACATCAGCCTTGAGCTTCACGAACCCCAAACGATTGCCGCCGAAGAAGTCCACCGCCTGTATCTGTATGTGGCGCAAGGTATAGGGAGCTGCGTGGAATTCATGAGACGGATTAGCTTGTCTGGAAAGTGAGTGCTGTAATGTCGACAGCCAGATCTTGAAGGCTGGGAATGCAAGTAATTGGTCCTGCGAAAGATCGGGCGTGAGGGCAACGGGGATCTGCGGGGTGCTGTTTGGGATAATAAAAGTCGACATAATCCTCGAGCGGACTCTAGTTCGTATAAATAAGGGGTAATTCGTGATAAGCGCGTGGAAAGAGGAGGTACAAGGGTTAGACCGCATGAAGGTGAATCATCAAAATAATGTGTTCAAGGATGGCGGAGGATTATCCCAAAACTTGCAGCTCCATTGCGCGTGGATAGAGGACTGCCCAGATAAATACTCCCTCGTATGTACATGTACATGTACATGTACAATGCCCGCACGTACTATGTAGAGCGCAATCGAGAGGATCCCCCGGAAATCGCGAGTTGAGGATGGATGGGTAACTCCCCCTGTATTAGGGTTCGCACGCCCAAGCTTCAGAGTTCCCGATGACTTCAATTATATTTTGTCTCGTCGGGTTTCCATAGACTGGTTCTTAATTGACTTCCGGAGACTTCCATGTAGGAGCGTCCAAGGTTCCTTTGACGGAATGGAGCTCCCTTTTCATTTGTCGACAATACGCGGTAACTTGATGCCACATCCGGCCCTACTAACGACCGCTATCACTCGTTCCGATGACGTTGCGTTAACTTAACTAGTTACGTCTCGAGGAAAAACTCTGGGCTTTCCCTTGGCGAAGTTTGTGGCCGAGCGACGCGCATCTGATTGGATGTCGCTAGCTAACTCCAGAGCTTCCAACTTCAAGCAGCGAAGCCCCCAATCAGTCGTAAACGAATTTGGCAACTTGCCAGCTTCGAAGTCATATCCGGTAGTTTGCTGATCCGTTCCACTATTCACCCGGAGATATTGTCTGTCGGTGATAATGCTGCAGATGAAGGCGCTGGCGCATCGCGGTGACATATGTAGGGTTTGAGGAGACAAATCTATTTCGTTCTCAAACCATGTGTAAGACTGATCTCTTTTCCGGGTCGGTTTTAGAGATCCAGCAATTGGTGGAACCCGGGTTTGCCAGTAATTTATGCTAGGCTAGCGGTTGGTTGCATGTTGATTCGGGGCGGGGGGGACAGGCAAATGACAAAGAGAGAGATGGGCAGGATGTAACAGAAGAAACAGGGCCAAAAGCCTGCTTTAGGATCCGGACCGGACCATGACCGACTTCCTTTCCTGTGTCTCGCCTCCGTGTTGGGCGCCAGCTGATGGGGCTGGCTTATTATTTATGGTTTATGGGTAGTTTAGCAGTCTCGTTGAACTATTTATTTATGAGAAGCGCGAGCTCGGATAATGCGTAACGATACGATACAATACGCCCCCCATAAGCCCGAGGCTTCTGGCCAGCCCCGGCTTGCTGGGTCAGGCGGGAAGGGGTTTTTATTAACGGCATCTCGCTCGCTGTTTGGTTTCCCTTTGCGGTCTCAACACACTGCCTCTTTTCTTCCTTGAGAGCCATTTGTAGACTTACCTCAATTCAACATATTCCCCCCAGACGGTATTCTCCAGCGTGGCCGCGGGGGTGTTGCCACATATTTTCCCACCCGGCCTTGGGTTGATCCCGTACCCGCAATATTCCTTGAATTTCGCTGTCATAAACTGGAGAAAAAAGAGGGTCAAGCCGCTTCCATTGCTGAGATTTGCATCTCCATTTCCAGGTTCCAGGTTGGAAGCAACATATTGTAGCAAAATATCATTTCTGCTGCAGGGTTTTTAAGGTAAACTACCTTCATCCGAGAAGTCCGTAAGAAGAGAATAATAGCTGGTCAGATTTTGTTGACAATTACCTCCTTTCAGGGCTTCGAGAACCACCACACCACCACCGAACTTCCCAACTACGAGCGGGTGACGAGCATGAGTCCATAAAAAGCATAAAATGTCAAATTGTCCTCCAGATCCTTTGCTTCCAAAATGCATGCATAAAAATGCCAGTGGTTGCCAACTGCCCTGCCCCCATTTCTGTTGCCTCTGCGCGGGCGTGAGATTCTTCCCGCCCTCCCATCCATGCCCGCCGCCTTATCCCTCCCGAGACGGCGTCTCCAGCGAATCTCAGCGATATCCTAGATACTGCTTGAACTGCAAGGGTTAGTTGCCTCCTCTTCTGCTGAAGTGCTTCCTCACGTTTCTTTTATGTTGTATATCCCCTTTGTTTCTTCCAGTTTCGATTGTGTTTTCATTTTGACGCTCTGAGTAGCGTCGCTGTTCTTTCACTTCCTTGCTTCGCTGGCTGTCACTAAATCGATACACGTTAATAAATTTTATTTAGTTTCTTCTCGTTTTTAGTTTTTGTCATTTGCTCTTCTTGCCTTACTCACCCTCTCCTCCTGCCTTTTGCTACCTGCTTATTTCATTCGAGTGCCGTATAGAATATTGGGCATCGCAAGCAGGTTGTTCATCCTCTGCTGTCCCTGTTCCAGTGTCTGGGGCTTGTATGCAGCCGCATCAGCCTCATCCACATTGTGGATTGCCTGTGGACCATCACCGCACTGCACCCCTATATAATTATCAGCCACCCCAGAACCTGCAGTTGAATCGAGATAGCGGCGTTTCGGATCACTCCAGTAACAGTCAAAGTTCAACGGCAGCAGCAGTCACCGCGCCATCTCAACGCTTCCCTACCCACTCATCTTTACAGCAGAGTCAAAACCGACATCCACACAGAGACGAATTCCATCAACAGACCTCCTGGATTCCAAGGCACGTTGCATCTAATTCCTCCACGTTTGGTCAAGCTATATCCAACCCATCAATATCCCATCATCGGGTGTATATGCCTGTGAATCAAGCTGGCATGGCCGGGAGGCAAGCCTACACGTCTCCAGGTGCCGCGATGCCAGCAAATCTACAGGCGTCTGTAGCTTCAGAATCCGCGTCGTACTCCTTGTTCAGCAACCAGCAATCTCAAGGCCAAACACCTGATCAAGTGGCACCAAATAGCTTTTGGGAACCTAACGGGAATTACTATGTTAATGGTCGTATGTGATCTGTATCAGCATCTAAATGCATTTTTTTTTTTTCATTGCCATGAGTGCTAATACCTGTCTAGCTGATGTGCAAAACCCCTCTAGAGACATGTCTCTTAGTTACAACTATGCACCCGCTGAGCCCTCGCCAATCTACTACTCAACCTCACTACCTTCCGATCCTGTAACTAGACCTTTTGCCACAGTGGAATCCCGCCAACAAGGCAACCTAGAACAGAACAATGACACTCAAGTAAATAGTCAAAATCAAGGACTATATAATCCAATTTGTGTGTTGTTCCAAAAGCCAGTATGACCACCAACTTTAATGAATACAAGCTAACAGCTTATTATAGCTCTGAACCATGATGGGCCTGTTTGGGGGTCTGATTTGAGTCTTTTTCCATCAGCGAGACCTCATCTATTCCCCAGAGTATCAAACAGTTCAACGCTACCAAATAATGATAACCCTTTAAATTCACTATCTTTCCAATACCTCCCTGATGATTACCACAATGCACAGGTTAACTCACGCGGTTCAACTAATATCGAGTGTCTGAATGGCAATGGCCCTGTCCCTATTTTGCCTCATAATAACACGGCTTCTTCACATCCCGTCGGTCCTTTCCCCACAGAGAATCAGGCCAACGCGTCCAATTCTTCTTCACGAAGGCATCCTTTGCAGGGAACATTCACAAATCCCAGGAGCCCTCCTAGTGTTGGTAGTGCAAATCCGAATACCACCACCACAAGCCGTCGACGCCCCAGGCGTACCAACAATAGCGGAATGCCGCAGCCCGGCTCAATGCCCCGAGAGAGACAACCACACCGACACAATCATCACCCGATAAGTATAGGCATTCCGGGGAGTGCCCCTACTGCTCGTGATCAGAGTTACGTAAATGGGCAACTGGCTCGACTCCTATACGCCGGCGCCCTTGTGCGTTACCCCAATGACACTGATGGGTTTCTCTCCGCAGATGAAAGAGAGCGTAGGAGAAGAATTCTAGAGTCCCTTAGGGGAAATAACCGAGAACCCAGCCCTCCAGTCAAAGGGCTTGATAGCGCGGAGGATGGACGCCCAGAGCCCAAAGAAACAGAAGAACTCACAATTAACTTGGAATGCAAAGCCTGCATGAGCCAACTTATTGACACTGTGGTGCTTCCCTGTGGGCACGCGGTTCTTTGTCGTTGGTGTGCTGATCAACATATGCCATCAAGCAGAATGGACAAAACAAAACCACGTTCCGCTGCCACTTGTCCTGTGTGCCGCCAAAATGTGAGGCAAAAGGTAACTATTTTACCCATTCAACCGCTAATGAACGCATTCATTTGGTTTTCATTGAGAAATGCTAACTAGGTTGGAAGATTCGGATATATCTCTCGTAAATCTCTCGTAAATATCAAGCACGACCTACAATCTGGACGGTAATCAAACAGCAATCTTACTTGGAATCCACGAATTCTCATGTGATTTCCCTCCCTCCCTCCCTCCCTCCCCGGGTCTCGCCAACTCTTCTCACTTGTTCTTCATTTTTTTCGGTGGTTTTCTCTGCTTTTAATATTTTGCGGTCAGTTTGTCTCAGCATAGCGCGGCGTTTGTTGGCGGTACCACGTTTTGAAAACTTCACATAATTTGCATGTTTTCTCTTCCTATCATTTACCACATCCTTCAATAGCAGCTCTTTTTCTTCTTCCTGCTACATTTAAATAGTATACGCTTTCCGCAAATTCCATGATATCATCCCAATCTCTTCTATCTTCCCTATCTTTTCGAAGATCTCCTAAGTTCATATTACGTGTATTACATCATTTGCATCAATCTTTTGACACCGTTAAATGCAGTTAATGCAATCCGTTTGCGCCCCATGACATTCTCCCGCCCAGCTCATTGCTCTTGTTGATTTTGCTCTTTACCAATGATTCTCCGTCTATGCTTTCTTACTTTCTTCATTAAGGGAAACATTTTCAAGTGTTTGTATAGCAAGGGATATTCGCGTATACATTACAGGAGAGAGGCGGTGCATTGGCATCCTTATTTCAACCTCCTTCTTACAATTTATGCTGGTCACTGCCAATACATTTACCAGCGTATATAAGATGTGTTTATAAGTGATACGATACGCGGGAGAGCATGAAACCCTTTTCTTAGTGGCCGGGGTAGGTAGAGGGTTACTGAAGAATAAAATATCGATGGCTAAAATATCTCACCCCGTTGTTTCCATGGATAGTAGTGATAAACACATAGCTTTCTTGCGGACACGACCATTGATACAGTTGCTTCAGCTCCGGATAGAGCGGATTTAACCTTTCAATCCCTGCTACATTGCTTTTTCCTCCGCGGCGCACGCGGCGCACGCGGCTACGAGATTCAGCCTTCTCTACGGAGTAACTACTTACTTAATATTTAATAATATTAGATGGAAACGGCTCGTGGGTTTCCACGAGGTCACGGGGGGTTTGAAACCCGGAGGCGCTACTAACAGCGTGATAGTGATCAACGTGTGATATCTAACTCGATGTATTGGTAATTTGGTATATTTCTTCTGCTGCTCTTTGCTCTTGCTTTTCCATAAGGCAACCGATGATGAATAACTCCCACACATCCCAACCCCCTGAACCCCAATCCATCCGCCCGAGGGCGTACCGGTGATACGTAATGGCTGCAGGCTAAAGATTGAGAAGGGAGACATGGCGCGTAATAGGTGTGAGAAGGCCCCCAGAAGCAGTTCAGATACGGATTTGTGGCCGTGGAGGTCGTTCCAGTTATGGCCTCCAATTCGTGACAAATTTTGAGCCCATCCAACCAGTTAGCTTCCAGGCTGCATGACTGGCAGCCAGTTCACGAGTTATCATGGATGTCAGGGGCCTAGTAACAACAGCCTTGTCTCCAGTATCACGTTGTTCGTTATCACTTTTGCATCTGCCCTCATCTCGAATTTGAAGCCCCTTGTAAGGAGCCCGGGTGTCAAGCGCGCATTATATCAGGGTTTTCTTGATTTCACGAACAGATTTCAGGGGCGTGATAGCCCCTATGGCCGCGAGTTTGGATTGGGGACAAAGGGTTTGTTGATTCAATTTCATATGCGACTGGCTCGGCAACAGGGCGATGGGAGAAATTACAACCCCCCCCATGTGGCGCGCGCCCCTTGCAATCACCAATCCTTTTCACGAGCCAAAATACGACGAGAAAAACGAATCGGGAGGGAAGTTGTTGTTCTGATGATTAAGATGCATGGCGACAGATTTGGTAATAAAGCGGGCCTTTTGCAGAGAAGCGAAATAAGGTTTGTTCAAAGAAGCTTCTCTTTCTTTCAATGTTAGACTAACCCTTGACAAAGAAGGAAGATGGTGGGATGGATGACAGTGGCTAGGGATGGCGGGTTTATTAGCTCATGGTATGAGAAATAAATGTAGGCATATTTTAGGCTTAGGCATAGGAACAGAATCCGACGCTTGACAACGGGCCTGATGCGTGGTGTGGTGTGGGACTCGTTGTTTCTTCTGCATTATTCCATTATAATATTAACCTTGCAGGAGGTAAAGTCGTCGTGCATGTCTGCGGATTTCTTCAGCCACTATTAATTGAATAATGGTCAATTAGTTAGACTTCATTTGCTCCTTTTCCGTTTCTCCGTGTTCGCCCCTCGGCAAAAATGAGATAATTTTGAGACCGTCTAGGAACTTTGAAACAGATAAAAGTTTGTCTAGTTAATCGGGCGAGGCAGCCACGGTGTTCCATTTTAATTAGAGAACTATTTATGCCCCGGGGTAGGCAGAAAGAAATATATGTATGCCAACCAAAAAATTCCTTGGGGTTAAACTCAGGGATAGGCTTGTCTTCGCCTCGCGATTGGCTGACCTCGCATATCCCGCTAGAGCAATGGGCAATCAAGGTGGTTTATCTCTAATAAAAAATAAATATGAGGGATCTATAAGGCTGAATTCTACATCAAGGAACCTTGGTAGAAACCGTTAGGTATTAGAAAGGTTTCTCCTTGCACCACTTTAGGCTGTAAAGCGCGCTCGACAAGACATTGATCGAAAACAATTCTAAAAAGTGTCTCATGGATACAGTGACCCGAAGCTCGAACCATCTGGATCAACGCTAATACTGTTGTGCGACACAGGTAATTCGTCGACAAACTATTGGATAATAGTGAAACTAAGCACTATTGTCACAGTTCCTCCAGCAGCCTTATCTTGGACACAAGTGCGGTTCCGCGTCAGAGACGTAAGGTCGGAAGGATACGAGCGCTCATGTTCGTTCCTTGAAACTGTATGTGGTAGCCGGGTTGGGTGTTTTGAGGGCCTCCCGGGGGGCCAAACACATCCAATTCTATCGACAAGGTTTGGAAGTGGTAATTTGAAATGTTCGGCAGATACAACCAGATGGAGAATACGTCATATGGCGCAGACAGAATCGGCGCACCCGGAGATAGATCAACACCGCGTTAATAAATATGCAGAAAGGGCGCGCGAATGGCTTTCGAGAGGGGCCTTATTCATCGCCTTAACAGGGATGGTTTCTTCGATCAAGCTCCATTGTGATTAATTGGTGAGTAGGGCTGGTAGGCGGCGGGTAATGACGGCAAGTGATGATCAGTACCGCTGTCGCCCGTTGTTCTGGTGGCAGAGACACGCGTCTCAAATAGAACACATAGCAAGTCACTTAGGAGACCGGTTGAGCCTATGTATGTGTTGTACACACATGCGAGGAGCTAGGGTATGGAACAATACGATCGCAAATGCCCAGGGCATAAAACTTAGATTAGAGAGCGTAGCGCAATTCTGTCGCGGAAAGGGAATTGCCATTACAGAACGAAATCCCGACAGATCGGTAAAAGGAGACAAGGCTGCATAAATATATTACATCCAACAAAGAAATATTATTTTCCAGACAGATTTTGTCCTTCAATTCCGCCTTCAGATTGGTTTCTTCCGCAATATTGGCTGTTAATCTTCCTCGGGTTTTGCACACAAAGAATCATGGGGTATTTTTTCAAGGATGAGAATTTGGATTGCGCCTCAAAATTGGCATACCAGCACAACGAGCCTTGGGGAGACGCGTAGGAAGTCGGGTATCGGGACTAGCCATATCTCCCTTGCTCGGATCGCAAGTTGCATTCCGTAAAACTGTGGCCAGTGTGGCATCTTACCAGTGAGTATCCTTTAGGAACGAGCGTCTGCTCAGCCCCTGAAGGGGAAGCAGTCTGAGTACAACCTAACAGAGACTTATGAAGAAAACTTCACGAAGCCGCAACGAAAGAATGACAGCTGAGAGGTTGAAAATAAAGTCCGCTGCGGCTGAGTGAGATCAGGGGAGATATTTGACGATTGGCTTGGCTGGCTAATTGGACAAACACGGCGGGAATAGCAAGTCAATATTAATTCTCCCTCTTCGTTGCACGACCGTTCCTGCATAATTTTGTCAACCTTTCCGGTTACTAATAACCATATGTAATGATATTATTTCACTCTTCTTGTGTTGCGGAATAGTATGTCGAGGTGCAGCCACCATTTTGGAAACGTTATGTATGACAATGGGCTGGAGCCATTCCAGTTGCCGGCTGATTCGGGTTTTCGATTCTCCAGCCACACCCAATACGCTAGACTGGAACTTCCCATTATTGATATTGTAGCGGAAGTGGCATCGAGAATCGAACAGCGGAGGCTGCCATCCTGCCGGCCGTTACTCCGTAGCGTTCGTAATCTGTAGCCTGAATGGAATTGCTTGCCAGGTTTTTCCGGAGCGAAAGATTTCTGGAACCGGGAAAAGACAGTCACCATATAGCAACGGGATAGCCTGAGAGGCATCCATCACTCAAGCATCGAATCCAGCATCGAACTAAAGTTTCACCGCTTGCCTGCATAGCTTAAGAGCCTAGACAACATGATGCCAACATATTTTGCTGCATGAATGGAATTCTGGTTTGCAGGCACGCGACCAATCCATTTCATTTTTCTCGTCATTTATTCCATAACTCTGCTAGTTGTCATGTATTGAAATGCGACACGACTCAAAGAACAGAGTAGTTTGATTATGACACCAGCATCGTGTTATACAGTTAGCCAAAGCCAAAAGCAAGGGCACTACTACCTGTGTTCGATTCGGGTCACGAGCATGAATTTCCTGCACCTTCTTCGTACCACCATCAAACACCGGAATGGAACCAAGAATCTGTTTAGAAACAGTGCACAAATAGACATTGGGCATGTTAGAAGGGCCGATATATGCAGAATCACGCCTCGCCAAAAGTTTGAAAACTTTTCCAAAAACCAAACTGGCCTGTATTCCCGCCAAACTGAAACCTTTGACAAGGCACTGTATATATTATGTTGCTGTAGATTATCCCTTCTAGCAACGAAAACGGATATGCTTTGCTTGATTAACTCTCTTTGTCTCAATTTTTGTCAAATTGTTCCCTCCACAGAATGGCGGTGTAAGGGCTTATGATGAACAGTGCGAAAGGTGAGTACAGCACATACCGATCATCAGCATGGATGAATTTGTATGTGTCAGAAAAGCATCCCTAAGGGTGAGTTTCTCCCACACAATGACATAATTCAAAGCGCCGTAAATTGCGTCGCTTGGGTCGCAGGATGCAGCTCAACTGACCTATTCATTCACCTTGGGTCGACATGACAATGTTTGCTAATCAACAACATTCACCATTGACCCGGCGCGTTGGTGGCTTCGAAGAGGCATATTACTCTCCATTAAGTGAGCATCAAACAAGGAATATAGGAATGTACGTGTCCTCTACTTCAGTAATCTTGACCTCAGCTCCTTCCCGCCTAGAAATCAAGGCGTTAGGGGCTTTTGTGCGGTTTGTTCACTGCAGTTACTTTTAGCTTTGCGGGGAGGAAACCGATTCGTCTCCGCAGAGGTGAAATTAAGCTAGCGGCTAGGTATGCACTAAGTGGGTCCATTACCAAAACTTAAATTACCGGAACCATTAAACCTGAGTTTAATTCCCACCTACCCTACCCACATAGAACTGCCTGCGAATGAAGAGAGCATGGGTTTTGACGTCGTCCGGCTTTCATTATTGTTAATGGGCGGAATCAAAACTATCATGTTTGCCTACGTTGTCATGAGAAGAAAATATGTAGAATTTCCAGAACGAATGTCTGCATTTTAGTCACTCACGTTGTATAAAATGACTTTTGTCTGTCCGGAGCTTCAACGAGAATGACGCAAGAATATCCAATTGGTATGTATGTACGGAGTACGGAGTACATATTACGCAAACCCCGATAATATATTTCACTACAACCTTGAACACTAATGCGCTGATAAAGCCTACATTAGCTAGTTAGCTAGCCCCAATGAAAATAAAGAAATTTCAACCTTCAGGCACATTCATATATCCGGCAATCATGAGTGTAAAAAGCGAAGTACTCTGACTACTCCAGCCGTTTAAAACGGAAGTTACTGAAGAGCTGCTGAGATATACCATATTCCTCGCTCAAGTCTACGCAATTATATTACTAATCATACAAAGCCCATATATCTTGACACTAACATCTCGGATCATTAGTCTATATGATGAAGTCAAGCAAGTTAATTGGATAACCAGAAAAGGGCTATCTAACAGAGTTGATATTCAGCGTACTAATATCCAAGGCCGCTGTGTGTCAAAGCTAGCGGTGGAATATGATAATAATGCTCACGAGGAGGTATTTGACCTTTCTCTTCTTTCTTCTTTCTTTTCTTTTTATTTTACTTTTTAAAAATCTTTTTGCAAGTCGGAAGCGATTAGTTTCAGCACTAACTAGCGCACCAAGAGCCGATTCGGTTTGCGCTTAAGTTTGTCTAGAGCGGCTACGCAGGAAGGTCTGTGGCAATCTCGTATAATTTGCTTGGTTTGGAACGTTCATGTACAGTATCTGTACGGAGTACATACATACGCTCCAAATTATGTCTGAAACAAAAATGGCTGTTAACCTATAACCAACTACTATTTAGTGGGAGTTTGCCTTAATTTAATATTTCAATAATATTGTGTTGCAAGCTGCGGTCGTAAGTAAAATGAAAAGAGCTGCTAACTAACAGTGAGCTCTACCGGAGGGCGCCCCGATATCTTGGGGGTCTATGTTCTAATTAGGCAATTGGGATGTATGTAACTATGTAGGTAGTCCACGGTACGTGGGTACCAGATGGTGTTCACCAAGAGATGTGTCCCATTCCCCTACTACACCGCCAATTTGCTCTGCTGACAAAAGAACTTAGCCCCCAAATGAAACGGCATCTCAAAAAATAATGCTTGTAAATATTTCCAAAATCTGTTGGAAATATAGTTCCGTCTGCGGCTCAGTTGACAAGTTGCATTGATGCGACCCCGACGCATGAAGTGTTGCTGTCTACGCGGAGTACGCGGAGAAAAAATTGAATCAAAACGTTTAGTTGCATTTTGTGCCCTCTTGGAACTGGAGGCTGTCACTCCTATATCCAGAAACGGAAGGGGCTGAAGGTAACTGCCAGGCTGACATCAGCGATAACGCCCCGAGGAGATGAGAATTTACCCCAGGCGAGGCAAAACCCTCCTGACACGCATTTATGGCGGTGGAACAAAGTCGTGTAGTGTAGCCTTCCGAGCCTTGATATTATCATTCCTTTGTAATGCATTCCTCAAATGCAACCCTGACTGGAGTAGTTTCCTACATCCGCTACAACACATAAGATAACTTCTTCGAATGGCATTGACGTCATTCTATCCCCATGGACGGAGCTAACCTAACCACAAAAGGAGAATCCGCCATCAGCTCGTCAGCACCAATTAAGAGCTCGCGGGTGTCGATATTGCAAATCGCCAGCGCAAAACCCACTGTATTAGGAGTATGGGACGACCAAAAACAAAGTTCCCAGCCATGAAACCTCGGTAAAAATCTCAATCTGTCGCCTGGGTTATCGTTATTAAGCCTCAGCTGATGGGCGTTGTATGCAACCGCGCGGGGGCCAACTATATCAAGTCGTGTCTGCATCAGAGGAACGGAGGAGCTAAGTGTGGGTAATCCACACTCCTACCAGGCCGCATTTTCAAGGCGTGAAGATCGTCCGATTCGATGCTAGAGAGTCACAGGAAGGATTCATTGGAGGAAATTCCCGTATCAAACTGGAAATTTCCACTCCCTAAGCGAAGTCTGCTGTAGAGAGGCCCAACAGACGGGGCGAGATCAAGGCCATGGAGCTTTGCCGAATATTTGTAACTCCAATTTTATGTCTGCTAATTTGGAGCCTATTGCTAAGTTCAATCATCCTGTTGCTCTCGACGCCCATTCTTTTGGTTGCTGATGGTCGACCCGAGAAAATTAAGCCATCGATCCCCTCCTCAAATGCTTTCTAGCCACTGGGGCGGATTTTGAAAGTCCCGAGGACAGATCAGGCAACAGGCTATTCCGCATTCTTACGTCAGGCATAGGATAAGGGTAATCAGCCATGATGACGCTTCTCCATTTTGAAGGGCTTCCAAGAACAAAGCGTTCAGTTTCCAAAAAAGGGGATTGGATGGCGGGGATATTCCTCGGATGGAGCGCGTCATCGAATCCGCACCTAGCAAAAACGGAAATGATGCCAGCAGGGACAGAAGTGGTCCATCATGCGAACCAATTATATATTGCAATTCCCCTTAGCCGTTCAAAGACAACAGAAGGCTGGTTGCGCTCAAAATAACAACTCTTCAACCGTGCTCGTCTTAAATCGCAGATGTACTCCCCAGCTGAGCATCCATCTGCACTTCATAGCCTTGGATTCCCCGCCAGAGTCATGCGATCACCTTCGAAAGAGGGGGGGTTGGCCGATGATTCAGGCCCTTGCCTGGTTATAAGAGTCTAGGGCAAATAGGCAGAGGAGAGGATATCTGGCATGCGACTTGGAACACTGCCATCGTAATTCTTGCAAGGTGTGCTCTGAAACCTTGAGGTAGCAAATCACCCATTGCAACTGACCAATCCCCATGGCCAGCACGATGGGAATGGAAAACAATGCGCAATTTCCACGATGGCTGGCCTAATTAAGCCAATCAACTTTGCTTTGGCATCAGCTCCTACCTATATTTCCGTGGCATCTTCGGTGGTTTTCCGAAAAATTGTTTCGTTTTCATCTCCGGGTGGACTGAATAATAGATTCCTGCCTTGTTGGTTTGATATAGCACCTGAGGCTCAACGATCAGGTAGAAAAGGCACAAGCCACGCCAGGCCCACGTTGGGAAGTGCGGGGTAATGTCACCGGGCATACTGCGTATAGTTATGTTATGCAGAAGAGAGGGGCTCGAGATGAGATTGGCGCGCAGACCGCGTGCTGCTGTATTCATGCAGACTGGGAAATGCAGATGCATGCCAAAGGTGAGAGACGCAATGTGGAGCTAGCAGCACCACCACAGTAGAACTTTAAGGGCACGGAGGGAAACTGAACAATCTGGGCTGCCTGCCTGAGGCCACAAAAATGGCCGGCTAGGAGTAGGGGCGCCAACACCTAAGAAAGCAAGCAAACTCATCGCCACTAACTTAAACGCCCAGGATGAACTGTCACGGGAGGAAGCTCTTTGCGCCCTTTAGCCTTGCGATTGCTCTCACTATCGTAAATACAGTTGTCGACTGTACATTCAAAATTTTGTTCCCGGCGGGCGAACAGCTTGGGTTGAGCATTATTAGTTGTTTAAGGCTAAGTTACAAGTTACATCAGACTCAAATGACCCAAAAGAGGAATTTAGGGCAAAATGGAACTTCTCACAATAATTTTCTCCAGTGCTCGGTAAGGAATAACAGCTTTCGCAAGGTCAAGCATTTGCTCAATGTACAATGTACATACATTATTACAAGGCCCGGTCGTTCGGGGTTAATGTCTACAGCCGCATGGACATGAGCCTATTCTCCCCCTGTGTTAATTTGAAGATATGCAAAGCCTCAGACTACGGTGTTGTTTCCTAGCGTGGGGGAAGTCGTAGGAAACAACCATGAGATGAGGGTTAAAAAGCAAAAAACAAAAGAAAATAAAGAAAGAAAACTCGATCTCCAGGCTCCCGCAGCGCGCTTAAACGTTGGTTGGTGCCAACGGAAAAGACCATACAACTGAATATCCGCAATGCGACGGATGCAACCCAGCGCAGCGGTGGCAGGCTCCAGCGATGAGGTCAGTAGACATTTCGAAGAGCCGCGTCAACGGACCGGTAAATACCGGCAGGCCATGGCTAGTTAAAGGTTCCAGAAGACAGTAGCAAATTTCTGGATAAATGAATGCCCACTACGAAAGAGGGCTCACGGTGTCTAGTTGAGGTTGAGCGGGACAGAAACAAAGCTATAACTACTCATTTCCTAAGTCAGAAAATTTGACTGTAGATATAGACAGCGATCAACATATAACTATATATTATATATTGCTAAATTTGGAAATCAGCATGGCTTCATTCAACCAGAGCAGGCAGGATAATTAAATCATTATCAAAGTACACTGCCAAGAACTGACAGCATTTTCGAAGACGCTAAATCCAGTGCGCCGCAAGACATTTTTTAGCTCTCCAGCCTTGCAGAATCCCACGGGTCGGCCGCAACCTGGGCGATGGCACAGTATTGGCTACAGCGTTCGCAAATAGTTCGCCCTTAGCTTGAGGCATCTGCCTGCCCAGCCGGTGCAGGGGTGGATGGGCACTAATCCGGCCTAGTTGGACGCAGGTGCGAGGTTGCGCCCGTCATGGCAAGACGGATGTTGCAAATATTATGAAACCCCATCGACCTCGGGATATCCTGAGCTTCTGTCTGGGAGAGGTTTAGATAAAGGGCGACACCCGGGCGAGTGTTATTCTCGGCACTGGATATTTCCAGATGAAAGAGCCTCGAAAGTGTTTAAAAAGAGCCCGAACAACTTTCCAGATTTCTGTTTTTCCGAAGATGCATCATCCTTGAAAATCCCCTCCAAGGGCTCTGCCAAATTTATATTTATATACGTTCAACCAAATTTCTCACCACAGCCGAATTCAAATCCAACAATACTACCAAAAGCGCCAGTCAATTACAATCTCTGGGGCCCCTGCTATGGACAAACAACCAGACCGCGATTCTCACAGTAGTCGATCAAGGAATCAAGGAAGCAAGAAAAAAACAAGAGGAACAGCGACGAAGAAACGAGCAGCCAATGTAAAACTCGCTCCCAGGCCGCAGCCGCCCTTCGATGAAGAGGAATCGCCAATCAGAATGTGAGTGGATGGCGGGCGAAGATCCAGCCCAACAACAACCCCATGCGTGGTTTGTTTTCCGGTCCATGCTAACTTGGCCGCCTTTGCCTAATCTTACAGCGGGGTCTACTCCACCCAGCAGCAGCAGCAGCCTCAGTCGAACCGTCGTGAATTGGAACGCCCCAACCTCGACGTCCTCAGATCCCCAGCACCTTCCAACCCGCCAGATATCGCAGGCTGGGGAGGAAATGCTAAGAAGCGGCCCGCTGCTGCCGTTGAATGTGAAGACTCTCGAATCTCAGCGGGTTATTCATATGTCAATGCCTCTGGTGAAAATCAACCCGAGGGTGGCTCTCACCTCCAAGCTGGAAACAATGAACAACATCTGCCAACACACTATGTTGTAGATTTTACAATATCCGATCCGGATGCTCCAGCGACCCCGGGGGTGATCTCCGCTCCTGTTCAAAGTGACCGTGCTCCTGACCCAGTATCAAGCGTCCGTCCATCGCTATTTCCTGAAGAATGGGAGCCAGATCAAACTATCTCAGACGATGTGCAGGAAGTTTTGAGATTTAAATCTGCCTCATATGGGGTGGAGGAGGACCCCGAACCGCCAGAAACATCCACCATGCTTCGACAATGTCATGTTAAGAAGCTGTCATACGAGACATTGGTGGGGGAAGTTAAAGATATATACAACGCTCTTTTGACAACTGAAATAAGATGCCTTGTAGAATGTGCGAAAATCGAACACATTACCAAGTTGAATGAAACACAGTGGGCCGATCTGGTTGAATGTCACAAAACCCTCCTTCATCACCATTATAATTTACTCATATGTACACAACATCCAATCAGCGGCAGAGAAATTTCTGCAATTCCTGTGACATGCAAAATGCCATCTCGCCTGCTGCACCAGGGCATCTACATCTTTCTAGAAATCATGAAAGCTCGACGTCCGGACAGTCATGATTATATGACTCCCTTCATCTACGATGCGTACGGCCTAATAGCGCTGCTTATAGAAACGGCCCCCAGATTCAAAAATGTGTGGCTTGAATGTCTTGGTGACCTGGCCAGCTATATGATGTGCCTTGAGGAGAGGGATTCAATTGAGAACAGGGCCTGGAAAGTAGTTTCATCGCAATGGTATCACAAGGCCCTCGACGAGAACCCGGGGAAAGGAAGTCTTTACCACCGACTTGGTAATCTTTCAACACCCAACATGGGTCGGCAATTGTTCTTTTACTCCAAGTCTCTTGTGGCAACCGAACCATACACAATGTCAAAGAACCGTGTTGAGTCTGCCTTTAAGATGGCTTTGGACTCAATTCAGAATCGGGGTGTCACGACCCCAGACTTATCATCCTGGTTTGTGGGTTCGCATGCAATGCTTATTCGCAGTGGTTCAATTCACAGCTTCATTGTGTATGTGAAGGAGTATATTGTCATTTTTGCTGCCCAAGTTAAGCAACAGACTTTCAAATTCCGGGAAGCAGCAATCTGCATGGGAGTCCCCAACATCGCTGCAATGTTACAATATGGTGAGCAGGATGGCATTCTTACAAGGATGTTTATAGACTCTCAAAAGCTGAGCTCGGAGGTTAGGTTACAGAACGCTATACAGTACTGGCTCATGCTTCCTAAAAACCCTACTCAAAACACTCTGGACAAAGACTTTCCTTCTGATGCTGCAACTTTCTCTACTCCTTTGAAAAAACTTACTTACAGCACATATTTAAATTTTCATACACTCTCTTTTGTTCTTAAATATACCCGAAACGAAAATATTATTCCATATGTCCACCTCTCTCTTGCATTTATTTGGAGCCTGGCATTAGTTCCGGATTCCATGATGTATGTGGAGGGAGAAATTCCCTGGACAAAGATCACTATCTTTCTAAATATGTTGAACCGGGCATTTATCAGCGAATCCAGGCTTGAAAATGTCAACTTCCCAATCCCGACTGAAACAAAATTCCGACAATTACCAGAGGATTTCTTCTTTCGAAGCCAAATATGGTCGCAAACACTATATCCATCTGATTTCTTCGCGGGTGCTACCATCGACGACGACAGCCGTGGAAGAGACGTGCCCAGCACCAAATCGGCCCGCAACGAGCGCTGTCTATGGTATGGATATCGTCTAGCATCGGTAAGAGCCTCCTATTCAGTTTTATGCTCCTCAGCTCCGCCTACAAAGCTTGATCATTTTACACCTCAGCCTTCGTTATCTCTTATTTTCGTATTAACTTAGCTAATTACATTTGTTTAGTGCGGCCGTTGGATTCAGTTATTCGAGGAAAACGGCGTGAAGAAATTTAGACCTACAGATTATGCCAACCAACTCGAAGAGACAGCTATGCATCCTAAAGTGTTTAGTCGGCCTCAAAGGGCTGTCGCTACTTCCCTGCCTAGCTCTCTACCTAGCTCCCCGCCTAGCAAATCTAGGTTGACCCAGCCGCCTAGGAAAGGGAGAGGCCGTTGATACGCAAAAGGTCATCGTCGCGCCTTTCCAAGCTTGGTCAGACATCGCAGAACCCCTAAATGCACGATTAAGGGAAGGAAGGTCGTAAGAGAGGGATTTCAAAGCGGAATTAAGCCGGAGAAATTACCCTTTATCTAGGACGTATGAGTGAACCCCACTCTGTGTCCCCAGGGTTTAATGTCAACTACGGATTTGCAGGTGGCGCTCGGAAATTCTAGCTGCTGTTGGGGGGGGGGGGGGGCAGGGGGGTCTCCAGCTTCGTACGCCGGGGCATATTTCTTATATCTGTTTCACACGCAAAGCCGCATCCTATACGGACCGTTGCGCTTAATATTTACATTTAGCACATGTATGGCCGGCTTCAGCATCTAATTAATAAGGCGGGCGGTTATTTTCCCATGATGTCCGATGGTCATGGAGATTCACACTTTCGGTTCCTGTATTCGTTTTAATATATGAATAGTTTCAAACAGGACATAAGTTAACAAATACAATTTGATAATTTTAACTTCGTTCAAGGTAAATTACCTACTGCCAACACTCAATTTGTGCTACAGTTGGTAACTCATCCCCGTTGTTCGTTATCATTCTCAGCAACACGGACAAAATATGCTCTACGAGGTTACAACGCTTTTAGGGAAAGTTCTCTTTTGGCTTCTCAGTTCAGTGCCAAAACTTTTTTCCGTGGTAGATGTACCAATTGGGGGATCAAATCGGATGTAAAGGAGATATATCTCGCACAGACAGACACAAAAAGACAAAGTACATCATAGAAAAATTCTTCTCATTGCCAAAATCTCCCATGGATATTCCCACAATCACTCACGGTTTATGTTAAATACTTGACCCCCCTGACACGCCATTCCAATTGTTTGCCGTAAAATGCAGCACGAATAAACTTGATCACGCGCCCTAATTCCGGACAGAGAAGTGTGCTGAACACGAATAGTAACGCCGTCATCTCAACGCCTCTCCACACCTACAATCTATCCCTTATCCTATCATCGAGAGGCAAAGCCACTGCAAGGTCAGGCCTATTCATCTAGTCAATATGGCAAACCTATTGGCGCATGTATGTATCTACAAGCGTTCACGAATAATATAAGGAATATCTAGCCTCCTATTATCATTTCGTCTGACGACAATTGTACATGTACATGTACATGCACATTACCAGGGCGGTGATCAAATCCGGTCAAAGAAAATGTCTTTCTGGCCCAGACGGACGGGTGCGGGAGGGTGCAGGAAGATTCATCAGACGTATCATTTGCACCACTTGGGCCGGGCTGCAATCATTTATTTCAGTTTAATACTTTCCTTCTCGAGAAGTTAGTGGTTAACACCGCCCAAAAAGGGGATACGGTGGACTTTTGCTTTTTGATCTCGTTTGGCGTCTTAAAGTCGCATGCGTTAACTACAAAGGGCAGAGTTCAGGCACCTTGATGTGTCGGTCCTACCCGGCGAGGGCTCTGCGCTATGAATGCAGGGATTACTGGGGTGCCTCTCATCTGCGTTAGTGGGTCTCAATCATTGGCTAGATTTGTCGTTTGTTATTCACTTGGTCTGGAGGTTATGTCGTGCTCTCGGCCCAGCGAGGTTGAAAGACAGGCGGATGCGTGGTGGGTGGTGATGCGGAACAAAGGCTGAAGTGAGCATTGGCAACTCATTCTGCATGAGGCTTTATTCAAATGGATTCAATGGTTAAATCAATAATATTGGCAGGCAGTCTGACAACCATTGACGTTAATATGTAGACAGAAACAGCTCAGGGGCTGCATTCCGTGGAAGCTGGATCCCGTGATGCAGTTGCAAATCAAGTTTCCGCGCCCGGGTTTAGTGAGCATTCGCATAGGACGGGCCTCAAGCAAAACACAGTTAAAAGCCAAAACAACCCGGAGCCGGCAACCACAATCCAAGTCGCATAAACCTGTAGTGTGGTCGGCATAGGCATCAACTTTCCGCTGTAGAGCTTTTGAGCCAGCCTCACTGCAGGAGCTCGGGGCATGGATCTGCTCTAGTCAGTTAAATCCGCGTCATGTACGAGTCATAAAACACCCCGTTGAAACAAATGTCTAGGCGCTGAAGCCTTGTGAGATTCGGGCAACATCCGATATAGATAAGAATTTCCTTGCGATATAGAAGCATCCATCTGTTCCGATAGTGAAGTGCGGATCACTTCGGAGGTCCCTCTTACGTGGTGCCATTTACGGCCACGCCCCTCCTCAACGCTGCGAAACCCTGCCAACCAAGAAATGATTACGAGGATCTCTCGCACCAGCTAAACCCCAAAAGGGTGCAGTTCTGACATTTTCAAATCCTCGTCCGAAAATGTGGATACCATGTAAATTTCCTTTTCGCCCATCACTGAGATGGCCTTGAATGCATAAACTGATTGGCATTCCTGGCAATACTTGTGGCAAAGTCGGCACATCCTCGCCTCGCCATCACGTGATAGCCCTGGCTTGACTGGCCCACGAGGCTGCTCCATGAGATCCATGTGGAATAGGAGAGGGTTGCCTGATAAAAATCCTTCGTGTCTGGCTTGTATGTGGCGGGTCTCGAACGAAGCCACTGCGGCGGAATGGTGGAGAAATCCCTTAGTCCTATTGACTGTGCACTGGTATTGTTATGATCAGCCCCAATCATCACCACACAGGATCAAGTTATCTCGCGGCTCTTGGGTTTTTATTTATTGATGTATTGCCTGTGCTCTGCGTTATATCCACATTATTTGCCCGCCTGTTGCCTAGGAAAGAAGACAAAATGATTCAGATAAATGCCCTGATAACGAATCGAAGCAGAGCTGTGACGTGAGTCTGGAGGACGTATCTGACACCGCCGTGCGCTCGGGCTATTTGACAAGGGGAAAACCCCATAAATCAGCCTTCGAGCTGTGCCCCAGTTTCTTCCCAGAGGTGAGATAACCAAGGCGACCTCCCAGTGACACTAATGCACATCCCGGTGCTTGAAAAACGATCTCTCATATTTTTGAATTGTGATCATTGTTTGGCACGCCGAAACGTTCGAGGCACGAGTCGGAGCCACCAATAATGGGCCTTTAGACTCAGCCGTTCAATTGGAAGAAAACCACGAGCCTCCTGAGCTGATCCCTGTGATTAATTGGCTTCATCTGATATTTGCCTGGCGGCAAATATTGTGAGTAAATGTGATGTGAAACATTCATCAAGAGAGTAACTCTTGGCTCCACAAATAGGGAATATAGGCCGCTGTGTGATAATGACAAAACACGGCTTCATATCTGAGTGTGGAAACGGCAGGTTGATTAAAAATGCTCTACTCGCTGTGAGTGTCGTCTAGAAGATGAACTCTGTAAAGCCTAGACCTAGTCAATATTAGAACTGCAGAAGAGCATGCTAGGCGACATCTGTGCCCGGACGACCCCTTGTAAATGGATTCCCAGTTCTCGGCAACGAGTTGTCTAAAGAGCTCCTTGTTACATTGGTTCCTTGACGTTCTAATGCTGCGCATGTGGAATGGCAATGCCAAGATCTATATGGTCCCTCAGGAAAATAATCGCGGAAAGTCGAAATCTGGTAGGCTCGGAGAAGTGATGAGACGAAGGATTGTAACGTTCATCCCAGTTTGCTTTTTATCAGGTTGACGAGAAAAGATGGAAACTCATGTGGAAATTCAAGGATTGAACGTTGTAAATCTCAAACCGGTCCGCGCAGAAACAGTCACTTGTTTGGTCATCGGGGACAACCACTGAACAGGGCTGGAAGCACCGGATCTCGGGAGAAAAATTCGCAAGCAAACCAATTCGATGCGGGGCTTCTTGGGACAGGCACGTTATTGACAAATAATTTCGACTCCAAAACGGACAGTAATGAGTCAAATTTCGTCGCCTGAGGCGCCGATGCCTTGTCCGGCATAAATATTCACCTAATCCCTTGGGACGCAACGGTACTATCACACCCCTGAATTTTGGCATTCGCAGACGATTTGGAGGGGCTAGGTAAGGGAGAGAACTCTGTCATCACCCTCTTCAGAGCAAAAGCAACGTTATTCCTGCATTGTCCATAAGGGATTGCGATGCTGCTCAGCCAGCCTTGCCGTCGAGGTTGCTCTTGCGGTGCAGTGATTCGTGACAGGATCAATTCGCGATGTTATCGTTTTTCTGAGACAAAATCCAGCTATAGATGCCTAGCAATGCGTAATATGCCCTCCAGTAACATTGTTGCTGTGTGGAGCAGTTGCTGTGGTGGTGGAAAGACAGTTGAAGATGGCTGAGGGTAGTTGTGGTTGGCGATGAAGTTGGTCGACGCCGGATTCCTGGCCATTGGCTGCCAAATGACGCCAAGCAACGAGCGACGGGAAGCTTAAACCGTCCCTCCACAGTACCAAAGGACATGTGGCTGCTTGACAGCCTTCCAGAACCTCCATTCACAGATCGCAAATCCAAGACCAATCACTAATTTCTCGCCACTTTCTGTGCAGGCTCTTTGAATGAGGGAGAATTTGCGTTCTTTTCGTCTTGGTCTGTGACCAGGAAGACCCAACCATGGTGGACTTCCAAGCCCTGAGTGCGATATGCGCCCAATGCCTAGAGCTCGCCGGTAGCATTCCCCCTCTACTATGGTTCATATTTCTCCTATCGACATTTACCGGGCTCATTCTTCTTGTGGGTTTTATTTTAAAATTATTACATGACTTCCATATCACTCAATTGACCAAACGTCTTGCAGGGTTATACTCTTCTCTTCCTCGTAGCGCCAAATCCCCGCCCTCCGCTTCCGCAGGAGAAAAGATACAAAACTATTGCTGAAGATGGATCAATTACGGCGCCCCAACTACTGCCTTGCTGGCAAGATAGCCTACGAGGTCGTACATCTGGCGACGTAAAAGAAATGGAGAAGGCGGAGCTTTTTATGTCCGTCGTGGTGCCCGCATACAACGAAGAGGATAGGCTGGGAGGGATGCTGGAAGAGGCTGTGAATTATCTCGAGAAGACGTACGGGACTCTCGCGGAATGTCTGCAAGATGGAGCTTTGCGTAAGGAGGACATGAGGTCGGAAGGGACTCGCCGTCGTAGACTCGACGAAAGGACAAATGGGAGCATAAGTGTGCCATCACGGGGATGGGAAATACTCATTGTGTCGGATGGTTCCACAGATGGGACCGTGGAGACCGCGCTATCCTTTGCTAGAGACCATCAACTGTCGGTACACCCCAAGAGCCATGCAGGACCATGGACAACCATTTCAAGCGCGGAAGGAGTACATATCCCACCAGGGACAATCCGAGTAATCACCCTAGCGGAGAATAGAGGAAAAGGCGGGGCTGTCATTCATGGTATGAGGCATGTGCGCGGCCAGTATGTCATATTCGCCGATGCAGATGGTGCCAGTCGGTTCGACGACCTTGGGAAGCTACTATCAGCCTGTCAACGCATAGAAGATGGGTCGTCTCGAGGTCTTGCAATCGGATCCAGAGCACATCTAGTCGGCAGCGAAGCTGTGGTTAAGGTATGGTACACATATGCGCCTTAACACCAAGATCACGAGCGCATCACATAACTCTTTCGTCCTTGCACTCCACATTTACTAACAAATATACTCCTCACTAGCGATCTAAGCTTCGAAACTTCCTCATGCACTCCTTTCACCTAATCCTTCGCATCCTTACTCCACCCGCCACCGCTGCTATAAAAGACACCCAATGTGGCTTCAAGCTCTTCTCCCGCGCCTCTTTGCCATATATCATTCCCTACATGCACTCTGAAGGCTGGATTTTTGACGTGGAAATGCTCATGCTTGCTGAATTTGCAGGCATTCCTGTGGCTGAGGTGCCGGTGGGCTGGAGAGAGGTCAAGGGGAGCAAGCTGAATGTCATATGGGATAGTTTGGGCATGGCATGGGGTTTGGCTATCTTGCGGATGGCATGGGGGTTCGGCGTTTATCGGCGGACTTCAGACCATGGTATTTTTCGGTGACTATCAGCTGTCTTGTATTTTTTCTTTTTGTATTTTTGCACTGGTTGGCGCTTCTCACTACGTTTTCGTTCTGTATATACAGTTCCTGTATTTTCTCTCGGCATGTCCCTTAAGTGGACTACGATATACCCATAGATATATATGACGTTGGTTCTGCGTTCAACGTGGTATCAAATGGATGGTAAATGTTTCCACCATACATGCGATGTGTTAGCCATGAGTTCAAAAGATTGTAGCCCCTTGGAACATATTTGATCCATGTTGAATTACTCGCGGATGATGAGTTGATACACCATATCGACCCTTATAAAACACGGACTTTTTGTTCACTTCTTTTCTTCCTGTCCCCTTTCACCCTCCCTCCCCGGCCCCAATAATGACGTCCTTCTAATCGTTGGTGTTTGGCCTAGGGTTTCACTAAATATAATTGTGATTAAGCAAAACGCACATTACTGCTTTTGCTTTGATCAGTAGCGAATATGTGTATTTTCAATTGTCCTTGCTTTCCTAAGGGTTGTGGGGGCCATGTACGTCCCGGTCCGACGGTTATGCTGTTTCACATTTGTGAAATGCAATTGTCTGTACTCCGTATATGAAATGGGAGCGTGTTGAATGATAATGCCATATCCCTAATTTGCCCGCCTGCATTGAGGAAGTGAACCCGATGGCAAGCTCCATTGGCCGAGTGCTGGGTGGTATACATGTTACTTGGTAAATACATTTCTTCGATACGTTAAATAAGCTCTGATACTTGCTGGTCGAGATTCCACAACACTCTCATGCCACGGAAACACGAAAGAAGCGGGATCGCAGCGCTTTGAAGGGCGAGAGTGGAGGAAAATCTGAGAGAATCCATAAATCAATAGTTTATTGCTTCATCGGCCTCCATCCGAGATATTCTACTGCTTGAAAGGAACCCGCAGTTGAGGTGAGACGCGACATAGACCAAAAAATGACGTCGCCTATAAACCAAGTTAGGTATTAATAACTAGTTAGTCAGGGCTAGCCAACAGCGCGACCCTTGACTTAGTTGAACTAGCATCATCTCATCTCTAAAAATTACCGACCTAGAAAACTAAGGCACAGACACACATATCCATCGCTGGACCAACGGTCACCGCTGGTATTTATTTATTTATTTTTTGGTTTCTATACGCTACGAGCTGGTCTGAGATTGACGTACCTCATAGCGGTGTTTCGCGATGCGATTCTAACCTGGAGTGCGGCAATGTTTTGGCGACGTTGGCGGAGTCATCTCTTTGATTTACAGACCCCATAGCTTTTCATTCTGACGCCTTATCTGGTCAAACTTTCAGGGAAATATGATTTAGCAATATCCAAACTACGTGCACAAAAGTTTCCGACTCTTTTTTCCCGGTAGGCATGGCCCAGACTATTCCACAACGTTGTGGCGAAAGCCATGATTGTACGCACGAGGACCACAGGATGTTCCCCACGTCATCTCCGATGCGCCGCGCATCTTCGCCAACTGCCTATAACTTTCATCTGGAACGGTCTGATGGCTCCGCTACATTGTCGAGCAGAGTATCGAGAGACCAACCCAGCGTCAAATTTTTCGACTTCGTTGAACAATCTCAGTTAGCCCTCCAATCCCTACGGTTAAGCTTCGAGCGTGAACGAGCAGCGTTCGCAGAAGAGCGGAAGCTGTGGGAGAAGGAAAGATCTATTATGAGACACAGGATTGCGGAGTTGGAACAAGGACAAAGAAGAACTGCTAGAGTCGAGAGGACACGGATGGCCTCCCATCCCCACGGAAGCGAGCGGGCACATGATGTTCATCATGTATGGGAAGGATCAAGTCCGACTATGCAACCCACAAGAGTATTCTGGGATGAAAATGAAGCGCAGAGCCCCCAAGGCTTGAGGCACCCTAGCGGCCACAACCATGGAGTTGGATTACCCCCCTCGCTCGACGAGGCCCTGTCTCCTAGAGCCCGACCCGTCGATCGACAGAGCACAGTCGGAGTCCCCATTGAATTAGTTGATAGCAGCTTAGATGGGATTACTCTAAAATCTACCGCACTAGGCCCAGATATCCTCGCGAAGGCCTCTTCGGCCTCTCCCTCAGAAGTCATATCACCATCTCCAGACCAAACCATGGACTCCAAATTGGTAGAAACCAAGAAACCAGTGCCAATCGCGCGATCGGAATTAGGACCACCACAAGAGAACCTCGTGAGAGATGCAGGGCATACTCCAATGACAGTCATCGATCCGGGTGTGGCAACGAGCAATATATCCACTGAAGTTGGTACATTGACGACGGAATCTCCCCTCGCGCCGCGACAAACCCTTGAGCCAGGGGAGACCTACTCTCCTGAGGTCGACGAAGACCCGGCCCTCCAAGGGCCATTAGGGCTGAAAAATGACAAGAAACAGGACATCGAGTTTCTCGAGGCCCTGGACCAAAAATTATTGAATGAAGCGAGAAGGCTAGCTGGACCGGGCCCTACCTCCCATTCTGACGAGCTTGAAAACAATCTATCCGATGATGAACAACCGCTGTCAGAACCCGAACCAGAAACCGGCATCAAATTCAAACACAGCACTAATTTTGGTTCTGCATTTGGGACCTTATAATAATCTATATCCTATCATTTATTTTAACCTTCATATTTACTTTTAACAAGTGGGGAAAAAGGAACCTGTGTTATATATATCAAGCAATATATCCACTCATGAACATTATGGGGTTTGGATGCCCCTTTTTTGGTATTAAATATTTGGACTACGATGTTGATGGGCCATCTCAATATATACTTCTTAATTACCATCTCAACCTCTTCCCTATTCTTTCCTGGTGGCCTTAACTGTTTTGCTTTGGAGGCGGATCTTTCTCTCGAATAATCTCAATCTCACCCTTTCTTCTTACCTCATACCTGACTCCAACTCAGTTGTCGTAGCGATGGAACATACTACGCAGTACTCCATGCTTTTAGACATATTTCATAAGGACTACTCAGATGGTCAGCTATTGCAGTTCCTGGCAGTCCTCACTCCTGTTACCCTGCCTGTGGTGTGTACAAAAGCATCAACGCGGGGTTAACGGGGAACAGAAAACGAACGAATGCGCGTAATTGCAAAAGGCCATGCCTAGAAGTCTTCCACATTATTTATCTAGCACATGCAATATAGAGAGTATATTTATATACGGACACCCACGTTTAATCAACATAGCATCATCCTAAATCAATACATTTATACACAGCTGCGTGAATTCTTCCTAGTGGGTCATTTTCTGTCTTGCGAGCCCGGGGTGAAAGTAATGTCCGTCAAATTCCCTTTTCTTGCCGCTACCCCTACCCACAGTTGCTTCAATGCGTCAGTTCATGTAGAGAGCATGAATAGTCCACTAGGAAATCCAGGAGCTCTGTAGAGATAAGTCCACGGGCTAGCATACGAAATTCCATCCATGGCCTTGTGCAGCTATGTACATGTACAATGTACATGTACATCTACGGAGCTAAATGGCATGATTCTGCCTCAATACGAACCATGTGGCTAGGAAAGGAGAGAAAAAGTGAGAGATACGGGGAAATGTCTAGATAAATTCAAATGTATTCTTGTGGTATTATTTGTAAGATTTCGTTGTTTTCTTGCCAACGGAATAGATCGCGCCGAACTCCTCCAGTCTCTCCAAAGTAAAAGGGGATCGTGTACATAAACTTAAGAGCATCATCAGAAAATGGAAGGAGAAAAGCACATGGGGAGATATTATCATAAATAAATCAAGAAAGATGAAATGCAAAATGAAAAAAAAGTGCCCGTCGAACTCAAGCCAAAGCAGCGATTCCCCGCGAAAGGCAAGAAAGAGGAAAGTTGACGTCAGATGTGGAATGAAACCAAAACTGCATTGGCCATCCTGGGTTGGACGAAGCTCCTATGCCGCGAGCAGACAAACCCATCAATTCAACCATCAATTCATTCATTCATTCATTCCTCCGTCATGGCACAAGAGTGAACAGATGTATGGCAAAAAGTAGAGCGAGCCCCTGTAATCCGGGAATCTAAACCCCCATGGTGAAGTCATGTTCGATACCCGGCGTCACACTTGCAATAAACTTCAAGAAAACGACTAAGTACTGATCCACTCTCATAGCCACGCGCTGCTCTTCATACTCCTCACCACCCTCATGCTGCAACACTTCCCACTCATCTCCCGCATTACCACCCGCAGCCCCCGCCGCTTGCTGCAGCGGCTGCTGCTGTTCAGGTGAAATCGTCAGACGCGCCGTATCATCAACCAGACCCTCCAGCCCACTCTCAACTTTCGAAGGCACATTTCGCCTCGCGTCTTCTACAGAGGTAGCATTTTTCAGCTTCTGGCGGCGGAGTTTTAGAGCCGCGTCGGCGCGGTCGAGGAGGACTTTCATCACGCTTGCGTGGCGGCATGGGTGCACGCTGGCCATTTTTACGCCGCCGTCGAAAAAGGGGAAGTCTTCTAGTGTGACGGTTTTGTCTTTGTAGTCGCCAACGATGTCTTCCATCATGAGGTGTGGGGCGAGTGGCTCGGATGGGGAGATGTAGCCGGAAAGGTAGAGGCGCGGGGTTCGATAGTAGGGACTGTAGGTTATGTAGAGCGTGTAAGTGCGGAGGGGTCTGTGAGGTAAATGTCAATATATGAGTACAGTCCAATACTCATCCTAGTAGTAGAAAAAAAGGAACTCACGTATCAGTCTCGGTTTTTCCAGCCGGTTCCCTGATAATAGCTTCTTCATCATCGTCGTCATCTTCCATATCCGGAATCTCCTCTTCATCTTCCTCCCTCTCCCCAATATTCCCCGCCTCATCCACCGTCCGCACATCCTTGATCCTTGCCTCGTGGCTATCTGACATCCCCCCTCCCGTTCTTAACCACCCATCATCGTCATCGCCGCCACTCCCACCACCACCTCCAGCACCACCGCTCAAACCATCAGTAACCATAACATCTTCCCGACCAGCATCCCCAGCAAAGTTATCATCGAGCCGTCGATGGC